GAGGTTTTCTCGAAACCAAACCCTCCCAGTCATGTCGCCGGGCTGTCGTTCTCTAGTGTCCAGCTCAGGGCAGGGCACACAGTAGACACTCGGCAAACACAGGCCCCGCAGGTCATGTGCATCAGGGTGGCTGCCTGCTCTTTCCTCTACAGGGTCCACTCTCCTGTCCTGTCCTCTGAGCTGGGAAGCAGCCAGGCAGCCTTGGTTGAGTAACTCTTGAGTCACAGTGAGGGTTACACTAGGGACCTCTGACCCCTTCTCAAACATCTTAACCACTTTTAAAAGAGACTGGGAGGTAGAGGACGTGGGTAGGGATAGGGTCGGGGGCCTAGACTCCTGGAAGACAGGGTGGAGATTGGCTTTGAGGCCCATGGATCCAGGGGTAGCCAAGTCTCTGGCCACTCTACCCTGTGTCTGGCTGTCTCTCTGCTGCTGACTGTCCCTCATCCCTCAGCTAGATTACACAATCTCCCTCGGGCAGGGCCTCCAGGGTCCTCTTCTCAGGCCTGGCTCCCTCTAGAAACACAGATTGCTGTCTGCACCAGCCAGAGAGGAACTAGTAGGAAGTCTTGCTGTGCATGCTCCCTGGATGGGGGATGGAGGTCCAGGCCCTGTCCTTCCTCTTAGGCACTGATCTGCAGGTTGGTCAGACTCCATTCTGGGTACTATTTACTGGCCATAGCTCAGATCAGGACTCCTGGTAAGGGCAGGGTATTCGAGTCTCCCCTATGAGTGGAGGGTTCCCAGAGAGAGCCAGAGAGCAGGTACATCCTCTCTTACTAGCCTGAGATGGACCCAGGGACCATGGCCACCCTGAGTCACTGCATGCACGGTCCACTTACCACTGAGGAAGTTGTAGATGATGGGGTTGGCGGCACTGTTGGCGTAGACCAGCCAGTGAGAGAAGGTAAAGCAGGCGTAGATGGCTTCCCGGTCACTGGCTTGGCGGAACATCCCGAACACTCTAGAGCCAATGGGGAGGATGGTGAGGAGCAGGACAGATGGGCAGGGAAGGGTGCCCACAGAACTCTAGCTAGGAAGTGTAAGGGTCCCCACTGCTCACTACTGCCCATTTGGGTCACTTGGTTTGAGGTCTTGACCGCGATTTTGGGTACCTAAGCGTGGATTTTACCAGCATGGGCCTTGGGTCAGGGACCAATAGGATCTGCTCAGTCTCCAGCTTCCTGATCACTTGGAGTCACCCCATCTACCTTCTCAGCCACCCCAACAGAAACGAGACATCATGGACAGCATCCATTTTTTTTTTTTTCAGCTAAAGAAACAGGCTTAGAGAGAAGTACATGCCCAAGACCACACACATGATCAGGACATGACCAAACCCAGACTGGCTGCTGTCCACTGCTCCATGGCCTTCCACTGATGACCCATGATCCCTCATCTGCCTAAACTGCTGTCCTCCCATCCCGTGATGCTTGCTCCTTCACGTCTGCCAAATCTCTTCTCAGGGGTCACAGCCTCAGAGTGTTTTGAGAGACGGTCTCACTGTGTAACCTAGGCTGGCTTTGAACTCATGATCCTCTTGCCTTGGCCTGCTGAGTGCTGAGATTACAGAGCACATCTCCCAGCTTCCTTCGCAGAGAAGCCTCAAATAACAACAGTGTATCTGAGACCCCACCCCCTGCCGCCTCCCTCCATCACTCTGTGTCCTCTTCCGGTATTTCGTTTTTCTTCAAAGCCCCTCTCTCCCTGCCTGAGGCACTCTGATTTTTTCCTCCTCTCTCACTGGAGTGCAGCCTCTATGAAGACAGGGATTTTGTCTTGTCATTTGTAGCCGGTCACCACAGAACTTGAGAGCCAAGTGCATGGGGGAGCGGGGTTTCCCTAATTGCCCTTGGAGGCAGGCCTGATATCCCCATGTAACACTAGAGGAGTCGGGGACAGCAGAGCAACCCCTGGGGACAGCAGAGCAACCCCTGCCCCGGGGTGGAGAGGGGTGGAGTGAACGGTGCTCCTCCTCAGACCCCAAAGCCCCTCCCCTGCCCACATGCTCCCCTTGTGCCCTCACCTCTTAAGGACATTGAGGACACTGATGGGCAGATAACAGAGCGCAAAAACCAGCAGAACCACCATTAGCATCTTGGCCGTCTTCCTCCGAGCTCGAATCTGCTTCACCTCGGCCAGGAAGGCTCGGGCGCGGGGCTGGGGCTCTGCACACAGGCCCTGGTGCTGAGCTTCCAGTTGCTCTGAGGGCCGCTTCCAGTTCCGCACCAGGGCTGATGTGGTACCGGGGATCTGTCTCACACAGACAGACACACAGATCGACAGACAGACACAGACACACAGACAGACAGACAGACAGACACACACAGACAGACAGATAGACAGACACAGACAGACAGACACAGACATACACACAGACACACAGACAGACACACACAGACACACACCACGCACAGGACAGCAAGGGATGTTACTCCTTGAGAGATAGTCGTTCCCTTTGGCTGGGGACACTCTGGGCCTGGTGGGCAAGGTAGGGACATACAAGGAAACTGCCCCACTGTGGGGTCTGGACACCTTCCTAACTGCTCTCCCATCCTCCGTAGATCTGCAGCTCCATCTTTGGGGATGGGTGCAGCTGAGTCCTGAAGAGATGTCCATGTCACACTGTGGGAGGCCTGGGAGCTAGGGCATAGCTCTCCACCTAGGTGGATGCCCGGAAGCCTGAGTAGTTCTGGACCCCTGGAGCAAGCACATCCTGAAAAGCCCCTCCCACCACTGAACATCGCAATCACCCCACAACCAAGAGGCATGGAGCCAGAATGCAAGAAACTGTCGAGTTTAGAGCTCACACATTCATGAGCTGTGTGACTTCTCCAAACCTTTGTTTCCTTAACACGGACCAGTCAGGAAAGGCTCTAACAATGTTCCCGCAAGGCAGGTCCTGGATTTAACTCAACCCATTGCCCTGCATGGTCTAGGTGTGGGTTAGTGCTGTGTAGAATGTACGTGACATCCCAGAATGTTGGTGTCGCCAAGACCAGTCAGCCTTGTGGCCCACGTCCTGTCACTGCCTAGATACTGACCCAGGACCTACTGCCACTAGTGCCGATGGCTCTTAGCACCCATCTTCCCATGATCACCACCCCAGGAAACCCACTGTGGGTCGATGTAATGAGAGGAAAGTCACGCCTGAACCAGCCGGCCTCACTGGCCTTGGCTGCCAGTCACCCCTCACACTCTGAAGTTGGCAAGAGCGCCTCTTCCTTAGCTAGCTGTCAGGCACTGGATGTGAAGCCCAGCTGGGCAAGCGATTCGGAGCGGCAATGGTTAA